TACTCATCATACAAAGAACCGTTATGCCATGTTTTGCTCAGATTTAAGTCCTAGAACTTCGTTAGAATTCCATGTGACTCCTTACCCATGTGCATTAGAGCTTCAATATTTTCCATTTTCCACTAAAAAAATGAAGATTCAGATAATTAACATGATGATATCCAGCCCCTCCACGTATCGTGCATACAAGGGTGCAGTCTTGCAGCACTTGATTGCGAAATCTTGCTTTCTTTGATGGCAAACAAATACACAGAAATTCAAGATAAAGTTGGGCAGCCAAGGACAGAGACAGGCAAAGCAGTGATTGCAGACCGAGACAGAAAGAAGTGCCTATTGTATAAAACTGTGTAGCCCCTGCTCCTATGATTGAAAGATCTATACTACTGCTGGTTGCTCTTCGTCTTCCTCTTCCTTCTTTTAGAAAAGCAAGTATAGCTCTCATTGCTATCTATGGAGCTAGGGCATCACTGGTCAATTCCTCACCATGCTGCTCCCCGTTATTTTAATCCAGGATGTGATGGAGAACAGTGTTTCATAAACAATTTTCCAAGCAAAACCAAGAGAACAGTGCATTTGGAGAAACAATTGTTTGGAAGTGTAGCAATATCCTCCTCCCTTGTTGCTGTGGACCAGTCCAAAGGAGGCTAAGGGAACATGGAGGCTGGTAGTTCAGTGTGGGTTGTGTAGAATCGATCAGCCTTGACGTGCATGTGGAGTGTTGCTACTCACATGACACCTATGACACCATTTGGAGCATAGTGCCAAGTTTGTCTCTTTGCATATGGTTTTACAAGGGAAAAGTAAAGGCAAGCTTAATCCGAGCACTACAAATTTATAGTGGATCTTGTGGTCCTGTAAGATATGAGATGTGGGTTGTGCATCAACCACTTGCCCAGTATTGAAAGTGTGATATTATGAATCGCATGAGCATAAATAATACGATGACCATGAGTAGTGTAGAAGGTATGTGTCGAGAGTAGTGGATCCATCACGCGGCATTTGCACATATTGCTTGTGGGAAACAACTATGTGATGGTTCAAGGTTAACTACCCATCAATCACTCCATATGCGCGTAAGGATTGGCATCCCATGGCAAGGAGAATCTTAGATGGCATTGTTGATATTCTTCAATAGTTTCAATTACATTTGGACTATTTGGGGGGGGGGGGTATAGCACAACATTAATATCAAGAACTCTTGAGCCATTATCATGATGTACGATCCTATAATATTCGTTGAATAATTCTCGATATCTTGGACAATTTGAGTTGCCACAAGCGTACTACCTCTCGCCAATTTAATAGTCTTTTCCATGATAGGCGCAACGTATCTTAATTTCTTCTTGGCTTATTATTGAGATAAAACAATTGCATGAATGAGGTGTCCTTTCTCTTTTGCAAGGAAAATGTTGTTGGAAGATCAGTTGTAATGCACACATAGATGTTTATCTCATATGGTATTCAGAGATATCTTGGAGCAACAACAGAGCATGCATGCATGTGCTGCACATTGGGTGGAGCTATAGCAAAGTCCAGGACGACTTCAAAAGGATACACTCCACATATCCAGAGACTACACACACTTTGTACTTTTCCCTGTAGTCCAGGACGTGTGAACCATCCTTTGCTGCCGCCACATCTTGAGATGGTTGCCCATGTGATGGATGCAACTAGTGTAACTCATTTTCTCACATTTCCCATGCTAAGCTAAACACCACACGCCATATATTCAATTTTTGCTGATTTATATCCTTATTTGAAGACCCTTAATGCCCTATTTTAACGCTTGAGTTTTTGCAAAATCATACCGGAAAGAATTGAGCTTCTTAATGTTAAAAAAATAACTCCCATATCCCAAAGATGCCATAAACTTGTTTTTTTGAGCACTAAGGGTCTGTTTTGAACGAAGGAATAGAAAACAGAGGAATTGAGTAAAATACAGGAAAGAGATAGGAATACAATGACAAAACAGAGGAACGCAAGAGCGTAGGAATTTCATTGGAGTGGGTGTTTGGAACACAAGAATTTGAATTGTGGGCCCATTCAACAACTACCCATGGATCAACATTGATCTCTCTTAAATATACTATAGTTTGGGCATCCACTATGGCAAGAACGTGATGAGCTTGCGGCCAGCCACAGATTTGTCTTTGACTTCGTGAAGGAAAAAAACAAACAAGAGATTGTAGTGGAGTTTTTGTTTCCTCTAAAATGTACATGTGCACGAACCTTTCCTATGGAAAGAAATGAAGCAATCCTTTGTTCCAAACACCACTTCAGGAGTCAAAACTATAGGAAAACTAATTCCTTTACAATTTCTTTCAAAATCCTACAATCCAAACAAACCCTGAGTTCCTTGGTAGCCATTAGTTCCTACACGTACATACACAGTCTACTTGTGTTGAGCACTGTATGCAAACTATACTTTGTTTGAGTGTGGCCCCCCTCCGCTGCAGCAGGCCCACATTCTGTCAGAGGAATGCATGGACCAACGGGCGTTTTGGTGGACAGTACCTGACAATGCAGGCGGCAAAGCCTGCTTCACCTTTGAACAGCTGATCAGACGGCTGTGGAAAAAAAAAATGAAAAATGTTGGGTCCCAAAGGCCAATGAATCAGGTGCTGCGACTCTATTCAAAGTTTCAAACTGAACCGGGTTGTGACTGTAGTAAAGGTGCTCTGCTACAGGTGTATTCGGCCACTACACTGTGACTTGCCCTGCTACAGGTTAAAGACAGGTCTAGCGGCCATTGGAAGTACATCCTCTAATTCCTATAATTTTTTGTAGTGTAGCTCATGAAGAAAAACATCTGCCATGTGCCATGTAAATGTCCTTGAATCTCAGTCATCCGAAAATTCCAATTTGTGCTTGGCATTCTGAGCAATCTCTTATTGCAGTCGTTGATGTCCAACTCCTCTAGCAACTAATTAACACCCTCGATCTAGTCATAAATAATTGATGTTTCAAGGTCATATCAAGCAGTGTAGAACATAAGTATATAATGTACATGCCTATTAATTAAGGTATTCCTTTCTCGAGACTTATCTTGTATGTCCTCCTCTATGAAAAGAGTGTCATTCTAGCTAGATTTGAACAAATGTTTATTCAGATTCATAGCTAAAATGACACTCTCTTTATTAACAAACATTTGTCTAAAGATTTTTTTGAACGGAGGGTATATATACTTTCTCCGTTCACAAAACAATGGAACTATGGATCTGTGCTAGCCAAATTAGCTTAACTTGAATAAGTTTATAGTGAATATTATCTCTAACCAGTAATGGTACTTATTTTGTATTATAAATATTAGTACCCTTTATATAACATTGGTGAAATTTCTAATTATTTGACTTCCTGAAAAATGAGAATTGCATTCTCTTGTAGGGGGAGTGAGTACATAACAATTGACGTTCTAGCTTTGACTATTTAAAATGTGAGAAAATGACGACGTAAAGCTGAGCGGGGAGTTAGCACAGCTGAGGGAGACTAAATATCAGAATAAGTGACAGCGTAGGCTTCGAACGAACTGGTAGTTGAGAAGAACATTTGACTTGTGGTCATAGCAAGATTTGTAGGTGTACGGTAACGTTTATATCCTTATTGCGTACTGTCGTTATTACCCAAGTTTTTCCAATATATACACACAAACACACGACAAGTGTATGTTTATGTCATTTTGCATAGTTGTCGTCTTTATTAAAATCCAGACCCCACAGTTGCAACCACCGCCGATACAAAGCATAGTATAAGACTGTCTTCAACAACCGGGACCCAAAATTCAAGACCCATTCATCCTTTGGGTAGCGCTACAGACAAATGATTCAATATCTATTTTTGCGTCTGTATATGCAACGACTTGATGACCGACCCAACCTATACTCTGTATTGGCTACTGTGCTCTTGTCTCATAACTCTTTATTCAGATCACCTTTAACAACAGAGTCAACTTGTTAGCTCATATAATCTTCAAATGAATAACCTAACATGCTAGTATAGAAAACACATGTAAACATCGACAAATTAAGTGAATCATAGAAAAGTGTACGAGCTTAGCTTAAGAGCTAGCTTATCATTCTCTCTTCTTATTGAATAAAATATTCTATAAACTAGCTCAAACAACACTGTTGGACGCTATGCCAAAACTGCACGAAGGAGACACTTCCATCAGTGACCTACAGTTAAAACACGTCACTACAACGATCGACCTTGTAGAAGAACATTCGGGGGACCAAAAAAGTCATTTGACAACTTACCATAATTTTATTTGGGGACAATATTATCAATATGGTTATTTTGCGCACAATAAAACTAATTAGATTCTACTGTGCTTATACATGAAACAACAATCTCACAAATTACACGACACTACTGCACACTAGCTAGCTGCTGCACTGATGATCTACTGATCAGTGGCATGCAGGTGCCTGCCGTGTAGCATGCATGCCCCCGGCCCAATTTGCCCACTTTTTAACATCAGACAAATAAAGCCGGCAGAAGCACACCCACACTTATATACCCAAATAGGCTATTCGTTTGGTGGTTTCAGCCAGAACTTATCAGCTAGTTAATAATATTTTTTTTCACAATAAACCAGTACCAACCAGACTTATCAACCCAGAAACCATCCAGCTAACAACCTGAAAAGCGTCCTGGCCTCTCGACTTTGCGATCTCCTTGATCTTTCAGCGCAGATTACACAGACACACGGCATACCGAAACAATTTACGTACATACAAGCCCCCACGTGTCATTGTTCACAAGCGTCCAAGCAAGCAAGGATCCAAAGTTTAGAGGTCCTTGCCGAAATTATTGGGCACTTAAGCTAGCACTAATGACAATTAAGCCCCTTGCTTGCTCATCATGCGGTGCGAGTGCAGCTATCTTAAGGGGGGGCTCAATGGAAATATAGAGAGGGTGAGGGAGAAGAAGAGGTGAAGGAAAGAAGAAAATTATAGAGAGGAAGAAAAAGAGACCCGCCCCCGTTATGCATCCGCCGCTGGCTACAGGCAGAAGGGGCTCATGTGAAACGAAGGAAGCGCGAGCGCCACCGGCGGCGGCGGAGGCCCACCGCTGCAGTTGCTCTCGGGAGACGACGACCCAGCCGAGGCCGACGAGAAGGAGTTGTTGGACGCGTCGGCCTTGAGAGGGCTGTGGCGCCCGGGGTTGAACGGCGGGATGTCGGCCGGCGCGGGCGGCGGCGGGTGCCGCCACCGCGGGAGCGGCCCGGCGAGGAGGAGCGTCTGAAGTAGCGGCCCGGCCGACACCACGGCCTCCACCAGGCGGCCTTTCTCTGGCAGCCGACGCGCGAGCGCCATTTCCAGCTCCGAGTCGTCGGCGCAGGCGGCGTCCGGCGCGTTCTCGTTGTTCATGATGACCGCGGCAGCAGTGGTACAGCCTCCTCCTCCTCCTCCTCCTGCCGACAGGACGCTAGCAGCGTGGACGTGGAGGCTCGGAGTATGTGGCGGCGGCCCCACCACCGCCTGGGCCTGGGCCTGGTGGTGGAGGAGCAGGAGGAGGGAGTGGCAGTGCTGCCGGAGCTCGTCCCGCTCGGCGGCCGCGGACGACACGAGCGCCGCGAGCCGCGCGGCCTCGGACTCCATGCAACGGAGCTCCGCCTGGTGCGCGGCGCGCGAGGCGTGGAGCTCGGCCAGCGCGCGGACCAGCGCCCGCCGGAGCTCCGGCGCCGTCGTCAAGTCCAGCTGCTGCTGGTCGCCGCCGCCGGTGTCAGCCTGATGCTCATCGAATGGAGGTGGAGCGCTGGGCTGCTGCTGGTAGCCCCATGCGTAGGCGAGCGTGGCGGCGGTGCCTGCCGCTGGGGACTGCAGCAAAGGGTGGCTGCTGCCATGGTCTTCCATATCCCAACTCCCAAGACGCGTTTAATTTGAGGCTTGGTCTTGTGTTTGTTAATTGGGTTCTGGGGTTTAGCCTTCAGAGAGAGGAGGACATGAATGTTCTGGCAAATTGCATTGTGGGAAGATGACAATGTGAGGTAGAAGAAGACTAGAAGGTGCTTCTGCTGCTGGATGGTCTGGTGTGTGTGTGTGTGATCTTGGTGTCGTGAAGGTGGTAGGGTATATATAGGGGATCTTTTTCTGGGTTTCTTATTGTTCTCTTTAACTCTCTTAGGTGGCGCATTTTTTTTTTTCGAGTTGAAAAAAGTTGTGGGGCCGGTGTGTTGGAATTTCATCATCTTTTTTTTTTTGCTGTTATCACTAGGATTGGCCTCTGCACATGCATGCGTGGCCTGAGGTGTTTATGTTTCCTATCTTTTTTTTATTGCGCCCATGCCAGAAATTTCACATATTTTCTTTCCAATGGTAAATAGGGATATACACATCAGAGAGTATATCATCATGGCTGGCTTGGCTAATATTCATATCAATAACAAGAAATGGTTTATGCATTATGTTAAAAAAGTAAAACAAAATTATCATTCTGAGAGCACCCAAATCAGAGCCCCTACTTGCGATTAATTTGAGTGTTTTCCCCTACTTTTGTTGCCCCCCTGTTCTGTATCAGCATCAGCAGAAGCCCCCAAACTAGAGCCCGCAAAAGTATGGCAACAATCACATACAAATGGGTCCCATATGTCATTGGGCACTTTGGTTCTCCTGCCTTCTTTGGTCTCGAATGCGTGTGTGCTTGGCACTGACTCAGGTGAGGGGTGGACGGGAGGGTGTTTTGGCGCAGCGTGACGCTGGCGGACTAGCTCATCGCGGCGGAGCGCCATCCCGGGCACCATGACTCACTGTGGTGGTGGAGGAGGAGGCGGTCGCGTGGCCGTCGAGCAGAAGTTCGCGTGGCCGACAAGGTTCGAACGGTGCAGAAGAAGCCCGCTAAGAAGTTAGCAGCGGCCGCACCCACCAAGCAGATCTTGACATCGATGAAGCCGGAGTAGATGCAGGATGAGGCGGAGGAGGAGGAGGAGGATGAGCTCGAGTCCGCCGAGCGGGAGGTTGGTGTTGGCGCCAAGGAGAAGGTGTCGTTAGGGTGGACGCTCGTGGTCGTGCGCGGAGAAGGGGAGCGGGTGATGGATGGGAGTGAGCAGGCACGGATAGCCAGGTCACTAGCGCTGGGCGAGAGATAGTGGAGGAGGAGTCCGCCAGGGGAGGAGGATGGAGCGAGTGCGAGTGAGCGCCATGCGGTTCTATGCGAGCGTGAGGGAGAAAACGGATGCAACAGCAGGATGGGGGCATGAAGCTGAGCCCCTAGGAATAGGATCCCGGGGATAACTTGGGTGCCCATCTAAATTTGGAGGCTCTAGTAGGAGCTCTGCTGAAACTGTGTTTTTGCTTGGGCACTCATACTTAGCTATGGGGCTCAGGTAGGGGCCCTACTGGAGTTGCTCGACACAGCTGCTAGAATATATATTATCACATGCAGATGGAGCTACCGCATCATCAAATAAAAAAATATATAAAGTACTACCTCCATCCATAAAAAAATGCAATTCTCGCTTTTCAAGAAGTCAAACGGTGTGAATTTTGACTAAATTTATATAAAAAACTACTAACATTCATGGTACAAAACAAGTATCATACGATTAGTTATAGAATATATTTTCATAATAAATTCATTTAAAGACATAAATACTAATACTATTTACTATAAACCTGGTCAAACTTGAGGTAGCTTGACCGGCCACTACTACAGGATTGATTTTGTGTGACGGTGCACTTTAATTAACGGAGGCGGTCACAAAATCCAACCGCCTCGGAAAATACCGGGCGATTAACGGAGGCGGGCATTTTGATTTACGGAGACGGTCACTTTTGCCCGCCTCGTAAAATCGATTTACGAAGGCGGTAAAAAACAACCGCCTCCTAAAATCGATTTATGGAAGCGGGCATTTTAAGACAACCGCCTCAAAAAAAATAGTCCATTTTCGGAGGCGGTCGTCTTAAGAAGCCCGCCTCCGTAAATCTATTTTCGGAGGCGGTTATTTTATAAGGCCCGCCTCCGAAAATCTGGCACAACCCGCTATCATTTCTGGGCCCAATACCTAGTGGCGACTATATAAACCAAATGAAAACCCTAACTCCAAGCACCACTCCCTCAGGCGCCGCTCTCCCTCTCGCACTTGTGCCGCTCTCCCTCTCGCCAGCCTCCGGTCCCTCTCTCTCTCTCTCTCTCCACTGCCTCCCTCTCTCTTCACCACTCTCCCTCCCTCTCGCACAGAAGCGTGACGAGTGCCTCCCTCCCTCCATCTGTCTCTCTCTCTCTCTCTCTATCTCCACGGCCTCCCTCCCGCCGGTGTCGGCGGCGCGCGGTGGCGTGGGTCCTCGAGCAGCGTGCTACGGAGGTAGGTCAGTTATCCCTGTCTCCCTCTCTCTCTTCCTCTCTTCATCTCCCTCACTCGTCCCTCTCTCCTCTTTGCAGATCTGCAGCCGACTGGTCCTTCTCCGGCGACGGCGGGTCCAGATCCAGCCACAGCGGGGCCAAATCCGGTGACGGCGGGGCTAGATCCGGCGTGGAGGAGGTTGGCCGCGCCCTGATCTGGCGAGGAGGAGGCGCGCCCAAATCCGGTGGACGCGACGGCAGCGGGCTCGATTGGGCTCGCTAGGGTTTTTTTATTTTTTTTAAATCGATTAACGGAGGCGGGCATCTTAATACGACCGCCTCCGTTAATCGATTAGCCGAGGCGGGCAAAGCAACCACCTCCAAAAAGATTGGATTAACCGTGACCTTTGATTGAAGGCAGTTGCAATGCCCGCCTTCATTAATCGTTTTTGCCCGCCTCCATTAAGATTTCTGTAGTAGTGGGCATGGATCCCATAATTGCATTGTTTTGTGGACAGAGAGAGTATATCGGAATAAAGGAAGTGTGTGAAACCATATCCCTCTTGCAGAGAACATTCATTTCTTTTGGTGCCATTTATAGAATATAAATTGTAAATAATAGTCAAGAATTCTTGCTGACTAGGTCAGGAGACCCGCAGCAAAGTCTGAGGGAGATATATTCTACTGTATTGAAGTTGGTGATGAAAGTTACAATTTAACAACTGCATCTCAATATCTAACAGGATGTTTGTTTGCCAATGGAGGAATATACCTTAGGGCATAAAGAGAACCATGAGGGCATGTTTGGTTGCTTGCCCAGGCAAGGCTGACAACGTTGTCTGATCAAACCGCAATCCAGGCCCTCAATTTTAGTGCCTAACGGTCTGGGTTTGTTGCTCGTTAGGTATTTGCCTGCTTAGACTCATTCCAAACAAGCCCTCATTGTGTGGTTAGTACATGGCTACTAATTTACACTAGATATATGTTCTGTATATAAAAAGTTAGGAAGGACATTATATATATATATATATATATATATATATATATATATATATATATATATATATAAAACCACAAAATAACTTATTCTATGGCCACCTTGATTTACGATAATGTTTATATCAATTTACGATAATGACAATACACATTTACGATACATGAGTTATTATAATTCAAGATGATACTTACCATAATGCTATAGTAAATCACCTATGAGGGAGTTACCATAATCTCGTAAATTAGTATAGTAACTATCGTAACTCAAAGTGGCCACAGAATAACTTATTCTGCGGCCAGCTACAGAACAGCACGTGTGTGTATGTATGTATGTGTATATATATATATATATATATATATATATATATATATATATATATTAGTCAACATTGTGTTCTCCTGTGTAGTTTCGGCCTTTCAGCAATGTAGTAAGCAATACCAACATGTTTTAGAATGCCGTAGCTGGGTTCTGTTTTGGCTACATAAACCTTATGTTAGTGGCATATAAGAGATTGCCAGATTATTGGGGTGCCTATATCTGATCAGTGGACGCTTTTATGTACGTGATGAGCTTATGAATCCTTGAGGGCGACGTAATAGTCTTCTTGGGATCTTTCCACGGTAGATTATTGTCTCTTTCACATACATCTTATCTATGCATATTATGGTGGTCACAAATCGACCGAAGCTTCTAGCGATAATTATCAGCTACATGCTATGTATGAATTGACCCCTCACCATTGTCTTATTAGTTTTAGCCTTCCCAATCAAAGGTGACGTGAACCATAATTCTAGAATAGTCTATGCATAGTCATATAGTGTTGCTTCAGTAATTAAATTTCTTTTTTTTTGCACAAACACTAATAAAAATTGAAGCATCCACGCATGGTTCATTTTAACAACTTGGACACAGTTGGATCAGGATCATATACAAGATTCTAAATTAGCGTTTCAAAACGTTTCACTTCGTTCAGTTTTTCAGCAGTCTGATCACTGCAAAACCTTTTTCTTTCTCGAACATGCAGGCAGTGCGTCGTTGCATTGAGATGGAAATTTTAATGATTACATAGACTCTATTGAACTTATGCCGCACTACTGAGTTAAATAAGCTCATGAGCCTAAGTTGGAGTTTACTCAAAAAGAAAGCTGCCTTGTTTTTTGAACAGCCTCTCTTCTGTCCTTCTAACCTTGCTTTCTGTTCTCCTTTTTCCCCTCTTTATGCAATGTGTGCATGCATTGCATGAATGAATCCTACTATGTTTTAAAGACAGGAATCCAAGATGGGAACTCCTTATATATATATCATGCCATCATACCCTATCCAGCCAATCATGCATCTTGGTCCTAGGTTTCTGTGTCTTCTGTCCCTATGCAAAATATGCACATCTCTAATCATGCATATCGTCAGTGCCCAAGTCCTCTTCATCCCTGCCAAACTTTAGCTTAAATACTGCAGCTAGAAATAGTTATTTTACCTGTCTGGCATGCATCTAGGGAAGGCATCAGAGACCTACTCCTAAGCTGCAAGTGGCTCAAATGTGAAGTGTCTTGCTCTAATAACCTGTAGCAACAAGAACCT